TCTGTTTTCCTGCCAGACTCCGTGTGCTCCTCTGAGTCTTATCCTTGCTGTCTTCTTGATGCTTTTGATAATTATTTAATTGATCTTCAGTCTAAGTAGATGCTGTTTGAACTGCTTTTCAGGGCTGATGGAGAGAGTGACTGATTATACAGCTCCCATATGAATAAATACACAGAATTTTTCCTTCTCTCTGATCACAGAAAAGCAGCCCTTTAGATTCACTGATAGACACAAAGTAAGGTGAGGAACTGGAGTTTCCTGCATAATTTTTGATACACAGATGCTCTTTTTGGAAACAGCCAGAGACCTAATAACAAAGCAGCAGCTTCACAAATAAACAAGAGTTAGGGACAGTTTAGGTAAGGTAAAGGGTGAAAAACACTGCTTTCTTACTTTTTCTAGTAGCATCTGGCAAGAAAAAAAAATGTAAATCTCTTAGATCTAATATTAAGTAATTATGCATATAATCATATATGCATTATATATGCATATAATCACCCTGTTTTTATCCTGGACTTGGTACATCAATAATGTTGTGGCAATGTGTACAGCTAGCGTTATAGCTCTTGACAGGGAAAGAACCCAGCGGCACACGAAGAGTTGGAGAACAGCCTTTATTCCTCTGGCTGGCTCAGCACAGCAAGTGTTACAGCTCTCTTCCTGTCTTCTGATCTTCTGCCTCCCCCTTCCTTGGTCTCCTCCTGCTTTTATACCCTTGGTAGGGCTCAAAAAGCATCCAATCAGCTACAAGCTATAACATCCAATCAGCAACAAGCTTTAACATCTAATCAGCAACAGTGGGATTCAAAAATGACCCAATCAGGATCACGCAAGCAACACAGCCGGAAGCAGGTGGCACGCAGGCCTGGGAGCATTCCAGCACACAGGGCCCCAGGCGGCTCTACCTCAGGGGACCGGCCCCAGCAGCATGCCCTCCAACCGGCCAGGCCCAGCGGTGACGCGGAGACGCGGAGCGATGGGGAGGCGGCAAGCAGCCTTGTCCTGGCACCTGATATTTTCCACATCAATAATATTTAGGTGATCCCCATAAGAGCTTCGAATTCAGTCCATTTCAGGCTTGATTAAAGACTATGATGCATATTTCCTCTCTAACCGCAGACCTCTTTGCTGCTATCAAGTGAGGAATTTTTAAAACACTATACAAAGTACAGTGTTGTTAAAACTTTTTATTATCAGCAATGTCAGTGGTAATAATGTACCTAGTTAATCCCAAAACAGCAATGTATAAATGCCATGAGTAATGTGATTTCAAATCAACTCCTGTCTCAAGCCCAGCAGAGCTGAGAAATCCAACTGCCGCCAGAGAGTGGGTTGTACCCCTACCTTGGGATCTTATTAGGCACTAGAGTGGTCTTCAGGGGAACTTCTGCTTTTATGTTGTAGGATTCCCACTCGGCTATCTCCCTATTAGGCAGAGTAATACGGTACCTGTGTCCTTACTGCAATCCCAGAGGGTTAGGAGGATTAATGAGATAATCCATTGTAAAACATTTTGACATCAAAAGCAAAAATGGAAGGAACAAATAAGCAAAAATTGGAGTTGTAGAACAGGTTCACACAGGCCCACTTGTTCTCTCCCCCGTGGTCTTGGAACATTTGTTGCCCTTCTCCCTGGCACTTGTCACACTGCATTGTCAGTGTGTCCTCCACACACTAGGAGAATCCAAGGAAGCATATCTTATTCATCTTGGTATCCCAGAGCTAGTGCAGCTCCAGGCACAGCAGGAGCTTAAGAAATGTTTGTTGAAGAAATGATGATATGTCAATCATTTCTATTATCAAAAAGTATTGCCTTGATTCAACATAACCTTTTTTTAGCACATGCTGCTCTGTTTAGTTTGATGGGAGGAGTACAAGTAGGGCTAGGTGTGGAATGAGAGAGCCAAATAGGCAGCTGACCTTCCCTTTAGTAACCAATGTCCACTTGCTTTAGCAAGAGCCAACCTTGTGCTCTAAGGAAACATTCATTCCTCTAACAGTCATTACTGTCATTTGATCCTTCACAAGAGTTTGAAATGATGACCACCAAAATGGCCTGTGCCATTTGCTTTGGCCAGATAGAAGGTCATACAACTGATAGAAGAATGGAAGAAAACAAAAACGTATGGACCCTTGGTAGGGCTACTACCATAGAGACCCTACTATGTACCATTCACCTACAATAATGTGTTAGCTAAAATGGCGGCAGACTGGTGACCTGCAGGTCTAATCTGGACTGAGCTTCCTTCTGATGGGACCATGTCTTTTTCAAGAGATTTGACATTGAATACTAAAGATCCAGCAGAGCAGGTAGAGGTTATCAGAATCCCCATAACCATGCTTATTGTCTTACATGTAATCCATTTTGCAAATTAATACAACCTACCAGGCTCTGGCAGGCAGTCAAATTTGTCACCCTGATCTCCTTCAACCACCTTTTAAATTTTGTTTTTGTTATTATATTAAACAGATGGAAGAGCTAAGGCCCAAGGGCACTTATCTGGCTAATGCTGTGGTGGACAGCTTTCTAAAAGGGCTTCCCACAGTCCTACTTCCTGTTATCCACTCCCCTGTATAATTCCTGCCCCTTGCATGGGGTCTGGATCTAATGACTTGCCTCCAATATGCAGAGTACAGCAAACATAATGGAAAGTCACTTCCAAGAATAGGTTGTGAGAGACTGTGACTTCTGTCTTGCTGGCTCTCTCTCATTCAATCTCTTGCCTTCTGGGCCTGCTCACTTTGATGAACAAAGCTCCCATGTTGGAGAGGCCCGTGGAGAAGGGACTGAGGGTGGCCTCTGGCCAACAGCCAGCAAGGAATTGAGTCTTCAGTCTAACAGCCCAAGAAGAACTGAATCCTGCCAACAACCACTGAGTGAGCTTGGAAGCAGATGCTGCCCCAGTCAAACCTCAGGATGCCTGTGGCCTGCCCACACCTCGAGTACAGCCTTGTAAGAGATGCTAGACAGACACCCTGATGGCAGCAATGAGAAACTCTGCAGCACAAGACCCAGCAAAGCCAAGCTCAGATTCCTGCCCACAGAAACTGCGAGATAATAAAAATGTGTTGTTTAAGCTGTTAAGTTTGTGGGAATTTGTTAAGAGCAACAGACAACTCATGTTAATACAAAGGCAGCGTGAGAAGCAGAACCTCGACCTCCCGCCTTCTAGTCCACGCTCTGCAGGTTATTGGAGGCCTTGAGTCCCTTTGACCAGCCACCAAATGTCCTTGCTATCAGGCTCAGAGCAAAAGAGAGATTGTCCTCATTTTTCGGCTAGACGAAAAACCTCACATGCACTAAAATAGCTCCAATTGATCAAAAATTAAACAGCAAGATAAAATTAAAAAATGAACACAAGTCACTGGAGTGTTGTGCTTGAAATGATTTCTGTATTTAGGGAGGGAAGTTTGGTTCTTTAAAGTTACTTTCAGAGAAAGTTTGTCCATATTGGAGGAGGAAAAAAAAAAAAAAAAGCCCTGTCTTTCCCTGAATCCATTGCTCATAGCAGCGCAGGAGATGCTGCCAGACCAGGAGGGAGGTGTGGGTGGGAAAGCTGCTCGTGGAACTGCTCAGCTGACCATGACATTGCTGCAGCTGCCATCTCCCTCTGACATGAACTGCAAGGGTGGGGTCGTGGCGCCCACATCAGGAGCTCCCTCGGTCCCTGCCTTTATCATCCATCATGATCCCCTTTCCCAGCCTTGGCTCGGGGCCAGCCCTTCTGTCCTGCCACCTTCTGAGACTATGAGTAATTCCCTCCCTTCATTTATATTGCTTCTGTGAAGTGTAACTTTATCATGTTCCTCCAGAGCCTTCTCTTTTTCTAGGTTATATAAATTTAGCTCTTCACCCTCCTTTCATAACTTGCCCTCCAATCCTCTTGCTAGTTTATTAATTTGCCTTCATTTCTTGGGCATATGCACAGGTACACACCCTTTCTGCCTAGTAAAGGGCCATGGGAAACAGGACTGAAGAAAATGTGGAAAAGCCAGAAATTTAAACTGAGAAGGGGGAAAATAGGAAATTTATTTAGTCTGATAGTAAATGCACGGAAACTGGTTTGGGGGAGACTCATGAAAAGAGTGTCGTTTGGAAAAGGTTACAGTTTTTGGAAATTGTATTCAATTTCTTCCTCCAGATAGAGAGTTCTAATTAAAATCAGCCTACAAGAGGTTTTCAGCATGTGCCGGAGGGCTGGGTCAAGAGATTTATCTTTCTTTTGCATGCCTTTTCTCTCTTCTTCCACCCCCTAATCTTTTCTCTCCCCAAATCTCATTTGCTGTGCCCTAGCTGATCTCAGATGGCTCAAACAAGCTCCCAAGCATGGATAGCAACAGAGGAGAGGGCATGGGCTCTGGCTCTAACCCCTGCCCTGGATCGCAAGGTTCTCTGTCTGCTTTGAAATCAGCAGAATTGTTATGAGGACTCAGGCCCGCCCTCCCTTGTCTATGAGCTTCCCAGTCCACAGCAATTGCATTTAGGAGGAACACCTGGGCTGGTTCCTTGCACTACAGAAAATACCTGAGGCAAAATCAATGCATCTATGCCTTATTATTTTTCTAGAAAAATTCTCAAAACCCAAGTTCTTCCTTCTTTTATGATTTCAGAAGCTTTGTTTCATGTCTCACTCCCTTTTTCCTGGGTCCTTAATCTTTCTGTTTTGGAGACTTGAAAACGAAAATGACCCAGGACTTAAATGTGGCCACTGCTGGCATTAGGGGCTAACGGGAATGGCTGTCTTCTCGACTTTGTTATAATCATAAGGCACTCAGCACTGCACACTTTTGACACATGACTTAACGCAGGATAAAATTGGGGCAACAACAGCGTGCTTTTAAACAGAATTTCACGGTTATACATTTACTTCAGATTCTAAGAATTTTTTCCAGAGTTTTTACTTTATACTGTCAGTAAAGTGTGGCCATCCCCTCCTTACTGATAGACACGTTGAATTGCAAAGGGGTTCTGAGACGTCCCTTTTTTTCTGCATTGTTAGGGCGGACCCAAGGCTGGAACCCAGGGTGCTGATTCCCCAGAACTGTCATCCGATGCAGCTGCCCTATGGAGAATGAAATCGTGGGACCTTCCACCATTCTTTCATTACGTATCCTTTAGCTCTTAGGCTCTTACTGGTGTGTTACAGCTTTTATACTTACTTTAAGAAGGTGGGACTTATCTTTGTAGGAACCAAAATGTTATTCTAAAGAATGCCAAATTGCATTATTTTAGATCTACGGTGGCTTAGCCTGTAGTGAGTAGGTCCTCTGAATTTACCTAATTTGATTTTACCAGGTCATAGTGTCTTATAGCCTGAGCGGGGCTGTTCACTGTCCCATCAGGTAACTAGGAGGGATGGGGGCAGGTGGTGGCTAAAGAGACCGGGGTTGACACACACCGTGTGTGACAAGGGGAAAGGGAGTACACGGAGGTTGTTATGGACTGAATTATGTCTACCCCCTAAAATTATGTCTATACCACTAAAATTCATATGTGGAAGCCTTAATTCCTAGTATCTTAGCATGTTGCTATATTTGAACATAGGGTCTTTAAAGGGGTAAAGTTAAAATGAGGCTTTGTAGGGTGGAAGCCTTAATCCAATCTGACTTTTATCCTTATGAGAAGAGGAGATTAGGACATACAGAGAGAGACACGAGGGATACGCACAAAAAGAGGAAAGATCATGTGAGGACACAGTGAGATGGCAGTCATCTACACGCCAAACACAGAGGCCTCAGGAGAAACCAAGTCTGCTGACTCCTTGATCTCGGACTTCTAGCCTCCAGAACTGTGAGAAAATAAGTTTCTATTGTTGAAGCCACCCAGTCTGTGGTATTAAGTTCTGGCAGTCCTAGAAGACTAAGCTCAAGGTGAGGACAGAGATCAGAAACAAACGAACCCAGTGAGACAAAAACGGGAAGTCTAACGTCTGAGGGACAGCCAGATACAACCCAGAAGCCAGCCCCGAAGAAAGGCAGGTGGCAAATGCTGTTGACCACATTTTCATCTCTTTGTCTGGAAGAGCAGGCTCTTCCTCACAACACTCAAAGGGCATGACAGTAAAAACTACCAAGTTTAGTGTACACTTTTCCCATCCCACGTGCAACAAAATAGATCCTGTCTTTTCTCTGTGAGCAGGAGAGGGGGATTGAGCTGAGCAAGGAGGTTCTTAGGAAAGCAGAAAGAAGGCAAATGAACAGACCAGGTGTCTGTGGTGTTAGGAGGAGCCTCCAAAAAGCAGAGAGTGGATGCATCGAAGCCACAAGTTAAGCGCGTCACTCCTGTGGTAGACAGAGCAACGCACCCTCCAAAGATGTCCAAGTCCAATCCCCTGAACATGTGAATATGTTACCTCCCATGGCAAAAGGGACTTTACATATGTGATTAAGGGTTTGGACCTTGAGATGAGGAAATTATCAGGGGAATATTTGGTGGGCCCTATGGAATCACAGGGTCTCTATAAGGGGGAGGGAGGAGAATCATAGGAGGAAAACGTAATGTGACAACAGAACCAGAGGTTGGAGGGAAACACTGTGAAGGTGGAGGCAGGAGCTAGGAGCCAAGGAATGCAGGCAGCTTCTAGAAGCAGGAAAAGGCTAGAAAAGAAGTTCTCATCTAAAGCCTTCAAAAGGAACCAGCCCTGCCAACACCTTACTTTATCCCACTGAGACTGACTTTAGACTTCTCACCTCCAGAACTGTACTATAATAAATGCACACTGTCATAAGCCACTAAGATTGTGGTAATTTATTATAGCAGCAATAAGAAACTAATACAGATGGGTATATTCATACCTAATGGGTGCAGTGCACCTCCTGGGGGATGGACATTCTTGAAGGTCTCCCTTGGGTGGGGCAAAAGCAATATATGTAACCTAAACATTTGCACCCCCATCATATGCTGAAATAAAAGTAAATAAATAGTAATAAAATCTGAAAAGAAAGAAACTAATACAATGCCTTTAGAATATTCCTCTTCTCATCTCCTTCAGTTTTGTCTTCTCTCCCTTTTCCCTTACTCACTCAGACCTCCTTCTCAGCCTTCCCCACTGGCTTTTCCTCAATTGTAAATCAGGAATGGGCAGAGGCTGCTCTGGGGAGAGTGTTGTGTGGTCCCTTTAGTCTGTGAACTCTCACCTTCATAGTTGTGAAGTCCTTTCCTGGCTCGAGGGTCCAAGAGCAGAGCAAAGAGCAAACTTTCTATTCTGTGCGTCCTATCAGCCTGGAAAACTTTGAAGCACACAGCAGAAAATGTGGTGTGGGGCTGGTAACTTCAAATAAATTACTGTTTTACATGTTTTAAGAAACTTTAGACACTTTGCTTCAGTCACCTCACAATGGGCTTTAGATGCTATGGGCTCTAACCTTACAGCTGCATAAGGTAGGTACTATTCTTATTCTCAGTTCCCAGATGAGAGAATGGATACATAGAAACACCAAATAGCTTGTCCAAGGTTGCAGAAACCAAGCCCCATTTAATTCCAAAGACTCCTGAAGACAAATGCTTGTGAGGTAGAGATTCTCTCTAGGGAATAATCTGATGTTTACACTCTGTCCACTAAATGAAGCATAGCAGGTGTCTCACTAGGAGCATGGTGACTTCCTATGGTTGGCTTTATACATGGTTCTGATTTGGGCGGCAGTTCGGTTTAATGAGCTGTGGAGTCAGAGAGCCCTCACTGAGTCCTGGCTCTAGCTGTGAGATCTTGAACAGTATAGCAAAGTGGCCATTAAAATAATATCATGTACAACCTTCAATTCAGCACTCCCATCCCTGAGAATGTAGTCCTTAGAAATAAAAGGGCCAATCACATAAAACTACACATATAAGCATGATTACTTCAGATTTGTTTAGAGTGGACGGAAAAAAAGAAAAAGCGAATGCCTATCACAGGGCGTTAGCTGAATAAATGGGCTATATCCAAACCATAGACTGTCACACGGCCATTAAAAAAATGAGCTAGAGCTATGTGAGGTCATTTGAAAACAATTCCGCAGAAGTATTGTGTAATGAGAAATGTAAGATACAGGTAAGTGCATATAACGTAAAGCCATTTCTATAAATCAATGACAAAACCACCCATGTTTGAGATTAAATAAGCATGGGAAAAAGGTATTAAATGATATCAACAGACAAAATTCAATATCCTTCTTAATTTTTAAAAACTGCAATAAAATAATGTTAGATAAATAAAGGCTATAGCAAGATAACATACTTCAATTGTAACCCCAAAGCTAACATTGTGCTTAATAGGAAGTACTAAAACATTCCCATTATGGTCAGAAATAGAACTTGATAGTGTACTAAAGTAATAGCCAACATAAATGGAAAAGAGGAAGATATAATTCTAAAAATTGTAAAGAAGAAGGAAAAATTATGATAATTTGCAGATGCTCTGGCCATATACTTGGAAAAGAAGAAAGCTAACTGAAAAGCTACCACAATCAATAAGAGAATTCAGAAAAGTGTTACGGGTTGAGGAAAATCCCAGGACAGTATAGAAAAACCACCCTCCAAACTGAGATGGAGTCCAGTTTGGCGAGTTCTATGAGTTTATTAGAGGTTACTTACACAAGGCACTCACTCCTGGGCCGCACAGGATCTCTCCAGAGAGTAAAATCCACACAGCCTACCCACTGTGTGGCCTTAAATCCCTTTCCAGTGAGTGATGCAGAGCTCTTTTATTGTGTCACAACGTGTCCACATATAAAACAGAGTAAACATGCACAGTACAATCACATGTCTTCATGTAATCCATGTTATGTCAATATTATAATTTTCTAGTAGAGATTTTCATATTACAATTAACTAAAGGGTACTCCAGGACAGTTAAAACAGTTAAGGCTGGTTTAAGCTGGTCACCTGGAGGAAGCACTGAGGTCTATCTGTTGTGCTCTTTGGCATTTGCTTCACCTATTTTGTAACAGTTCTGAGCACTCCCAGTTAACACTCCCAGTTAGTGTTCCTCTTTGTGTGGTACAGCTCTTGTATATTTCTCTTAGGGGTATACAAGTAAAAGGATAATTAGCTTTCTCTCTCTCTCTCTCTCTCTCTCTCTCTCTCTCTCTCACACACACACACACACACACACACACACACATGCACACACATGCATACACACTCACATATACAACAACCGCATCAATGATATTTAGTATAATGTAAGAAAAGACTACATCCATATAGCAACCAAGACAGAAATAAATAAAAATATGTAGGTCCCAGAAAGGAAAAAAACATTTATAATAATCCCAAAAACCTAAAATGACTTTTTAAAAATGGAAACACAAATATACACTATAACAAATATGTGAATTTTTCATAATGTCATGTATAATTTTAATGCAATCCCAATAAAAATACCAAAAGGCTAATTTTTTTAGAAAACTAGGTAATGTGATTTTTAAAGCTCACATGGAAACAGAAATCAGAATAACTAAGAAAACTCTGCAAAAGAACAACAATAGTGGGGGGCAGGAAATTAGTCATATTAGATATTAAAACATTTAAAATTTTTAATTATTAAAACAGTATGATAATAACATATGTAGACTGATGGAATAGATACAAAGTCCAAAAGAGACATATATACAGACATATCTATGTAGAGATTTGAATTCAGTATTTGATAAGTTATCTCAAATCAGTCATGAAATGATTCAATAAATGGTATTGGGAAAACTGGAGATCTCTGTGGGTATATGTAAAATGAGATGTATGCTTCAATCTCAACAGTGGGATTGTCTCCAAAGAAATCTTAGGACTCAAATCTAGCTGCAATAAAGGAAAGGACTGGTAAATTTGACTATAAAAAAATAGAAATTTCGTCAGGGGAAAAACACCTTAAGATCAAGAGACAAGAGACAAACTAGGAAAGGCTATTTACAACTCCTATTACAAATGGCTAACTCCTTAATATATAAAGGAGGACCAGCAGAAAAATGGACAAAGAGTATGAATAGATAATGTACCGAAAAGGAAATAAAAATGTTTCTCAAACATATGAGAAGATGCTTATCCTCATTTATTATGAGAAATAATTCAAAGTATCCTGGCTTATCATTTTTCTTCTGACAGATCAGCAAAAATACAGAAGTTTTGTAAAAT